TGAAAACCCGAGTTTGTAGCAAAGATGTCAGACAAGATATGAATGTTTTTTTGAGCTCAAACGAAAGAGCGGGTCGAGAAATGGCGTGCTAGGACCTCTAAAGATGGTTTTGAACCAGGGGAGACTCCTAGACGCCAACGTTCTATACATACTCCTAGACCCCATTATTCTTCTAGACAATGATGTCACAACTCTGCTGTTCAATTGAAAACAGACATCATCTTTAGAGACATTTGTCATGTTTAGAGGCTCTAGTACGTCATTTCTCGACCCGCTCTTTCGCCCTGTCTCCTCGTTGGCTACAAATTTCAACCCTCCGCATACATGTCTTCCCCTTCACCCGGTCGTAAAATCACGCGTTCTCGGTAGCATCGAGGAGGACTTCTCAGGACCGAAAAGAACTGAGGATTCGAATGGTCTCTGGAAAAGTACGTCGCAGAACTGATTCGGACTTACCAGGTCCATCTAGGTCTGGAGAGATCTTGAAAGACCTGTGTACGTCCAATCACAACCAAATCCTCGACTCGGGACTCTCATTTTATATTTTGCATTGATTTTAACGAAAAAATATTGAGAAATTTTACATTAACATTCAAATTAGGACTCATTGATCGTAACATATTCTGAGAATTGAACATCAGGTGAATTGAAATTCAATGAACTGTTGGAATTTTTGACTGAAACTTTTGGTTTATTCCTTGGAAATTTTCGTCGAGTAGCATTTTCACTTGCATTTCAAGGAATTTTATAATTGAAAATTCGCAATGGATTAAAAAATTAATAGAAACGCTGTGTATCCGTTCCATTGAATTCAAGGTCCCCATTGAATCTACATTTTGAATCGAAGGTCTACTGTTTGGACCAGTAGTTTTTGAAAATCCACACGTCCCAGTCAATGCTGAAATTGAATATGCACATGCGGGCGGCCGTCGTTTGCAAGCACGAGAGGGAATCGAACTTGTTCCGCTAAGATTGTTCCTACCAGCTGAGCCAGACACAAGAGCGTGGCTGGATTGGAAGCGGGATTTCCAGTTGAAATCCACATGGCTCTCCACATTCGTATTTTCTGCATCGTCTGTTTAAACGGGTCATTAAAGATTCCTGGGGTTATGTACATACATGCTCTATGATTTGACCCGAGATTTCAAGTGTATTGACAAAACCCGAATTGATGGAGAATTCGGTTTGTACATGATTTAAAAATTATTTTTGTATTTCTCCGGTAAGAATCAGTGGATGTAAATAGGCAGAGAATTGATGGAACGAATAAGTTCTTTCTCAAATTTTATAAATTCGACGCTTTTACCTCTTTCAACTCCGATGTACGGTTCGCCCTCATTTCTTCAGCCCTTGTTCAGGAAATTTTTTAGTTTCTTCGGAAGAACCTTTGGTACAGGGTAGAAAGCCCATTCAAGTGAGAAAAATTGAATTTATATTGAGTTTACAAGGACTCGATTCCACTAGAAGCTTGTATATATTTCATACGTCATTACACTGAAATTACAAAATATGTGACCCGACACGCGGCGCCTATTTCTGTATCATCACGACGTTATTCATTTCTTTAATTATGCGGGAAGTTAAACACGTAATATATCAGCGAAATGGAAATAAAAAAGAAGAATGATGAATTTTTATTTCTTTCTCATATATTTCGACACCTTAATAACAGACAAGCGTATCTACATAGGCAACTCATAGAACTATTTTTTTTTCTTTTGGCGGAGAATTTCTCTCGTTACCGTTACATTGAGAATAACGGCTGGCTTGATATGCAATTGATATTGAGAGTCGGATCGATGATGCATTGAATTACAGAACGAGACGTTTTTCACGTGCGGGTAAGAAGAAATGGCTGTCACATTTATTGTATGAACTTGGTACATGCGGTATGTACAACGCTGGTAAGTATGATATATTCGTATTATTTATGTGTTATTTTCTTTATCAGAATAATGGAAATATGGTTATACTAGCCGTCACGAGTGCCCCCATGAATCACGGGAAAATTATATCCTTGGACTTGCTGTAGCAAAGCCGAGCAGAAAATCAATTCAGGGTGCAAATACTCGAGGTAGTTTGTGTTATTCTACTCTGTGAGTTGATGATATGAGTTAGTTCGTTTTATGAAACATGATAAGACGGTTGTGATTGATATGTGGAGCCGAAAGGGTGAGGGTGAGTTATTACATAAATCGCTTCATCATGCAATCTCATTGTTGGTAAGGGATTACTAAATGGTTCAATACCTTCATGCCTAAATTGTTGAAGATAGTACGTTGAAGAAATAAAAATAATGTACTGTTAGTACGTCGCAACGGAGTATCCAAGTCAATTTATAAACCAAGTATGAGCGATTTACGAATATCATTTGAAGTAATCAATTATAACGAATTTTATGTGTGTAACAGTCCATTCCACTATATCATACAAATTATAACATTTGAATATTTTCCGGGTTCAACACAAACGTTGAAGTATATCTTATTTTATCTGCTGTGCGACAATCGTGGATAGTTAAAAGCCCCCCTGCAAGGGCCTTATACCTGAAATCAACCCTAAGGACACGTCACAGCAACAAGTTGGAAATAAAACGGTCCCTCACCGGCCATCCCGAGTCGAGGATTTAGTTCTGACTGGACGAACACAGGTCTTTCAAGATCTCTCCAGACCGAGATTGACCTGGTAAGTCCTAATCAGTTCTGCGACATACTTTTCCGAAGAACTTTCGAATCCTGAGTTCCTGTCGGCCCTGAGAAGTCCTCCTATATACGACTGAGACCGCGGGATTTCACGAGGGGGTGGAGGGGAAGGCATGTATGCGAAGGGTTGAAATTTGTAGCCAACGAGGAGGGAGTGTTGCACAATATATTTTGGGAAAGTCGGGCAGAGGGTCACGAGGGCCAAAGTGTCCGATCTTGGATTTTTCCAGAGGGAAAGTCGACTTTCGCCAAAATCGAATTTTTTAGCCGGGTGAACGTTGATTCCAACTATTTAAGCGACGAGCTATTCAGAACTCTCAAAAGTATGTGGAAAAAGTGAAAACTGAAAAAGTTTTTTTTTTAGATTTTCAAAGGGTCAGATTTTCCGTTTTTCCAGGGGGAAAGTCGACTTTCGCCAAAATCGAATTTTTTAGCCGGGTGAACGTTGATTCCAATTATTTAAGCGACGGGCTATTCAGAACTCTCAAAAGTATGTGGAAAAAGTAAAAACTGAAAAAAAAACATTTTCACCGGGGGTTAAAGTGTTTGAAATGCGACATAACGAGAGGTAGAAAGGTCTTGAAAGCACTTAGGAAGAGGCTTCCCAAGACCTATCCAGTTCTGAACGGAAAGACCTGAGTAGAACTTGTCAGGTCTAATTATTCGACTCGATCAAAACGATTCCTCTTGGTGAAATATTCAAGTGCATCTAATTCATTATTATCCATTCAGGTTAAACTCAATAATTGTCTTATTTATTACACAAATTCTCATCAAATTATACATCATATACGCATTTTAATAAGAAGGTTGATTATCCGTTGAGTAAATGACTATCAAAAACGTACTTCATAACAAACACTGACCTTAAGATAATTAAAGTGAAATGAAGAACGAAATCAAATGTAAGATATCATCAGAAAATCTCTATTAAACAACCGAAACCTGAAACGAACCAAAAACACGTAAATAAATAAATGAAAACAAAATAATAATAAAAGTCGTAAATGACCTGAGTGAGCGTAATTGTTAGTTCAGGAGTACTGGCTTGACGATACAGATAGTTTAGTAATAATTTTGTGAAAACCAAGAATCAGTTCCGTAGAGAACCCTGTCGAATTTGACGGACAATTCTAATGGTTTGCTACTGAAAGTTTTAATACGTTTTGGCTGAAAACTATGGGTAGATAAATGCATAGAATTTTATCTTGTTATACAACTTTTTTCACCTCTTTTTTTCGCGTTTTTCCGTTCAATTTTTCTTTTCTTTTCCTTTGAAAAACCAAGCAAAAAACAGAAGTTTCGAGCCGAGGATTTTCTACAAAAAATATCTCAATAGAATCAGTTATAAGATGCGGAATTTTTTAATCGAATCGATTAAAAACTAATAAAAAGTTCAATAAAAATCTAACACAAGTTCCTAGTGATTTTAATAGGTTTTTCGATGGAATTTTTCGTACATGGAGCGACATTAAATTTTATTTAGAGAAGAACAGTCTTGCAATTTCATTTGCACTATAGAAAATTCAATTGAATTTTAAATTATTGAGCAGTCGGAAGACAAAAATTCTTCAACTTACTCGAATTTTGACTCATAACATGGATATTTAGTACAAAATTAAGCAATTTGTTGAATTAATTGCAAATTGAACAGTATATTTGAATGAAATTTCATAATTTCTCATTTGCATAGAATATTTGAATGAGAAATTACATTATTCTTATTGAATTTTTCATCAGATTCGTGAATTCTCAATGGTGAAATTCCTCAATCTTCCGGTGGAACAGTAAGTCTATAAATTGTGACAGTGTGATGCATCTGTAATTTGCACTGTAATTTCAACAATAAGAGTTATTGGTTTCGATTGCCTAATGGAGTCAGGCGGAGGTACAGGAGTGGTCAATCCATGTACTTTGATAATCTTTGTTCCGTTGAAATGGTTTTCCGCACTTTGACTCGAATCAAGTCAGAATTGCTCTCAGGCTAAGAAATATTGTACATTTCATTCATTGTTTATCCATTAGAAGTATAAAAAAATAATAATTTTATTTTTTGAGGAAAAACGAACGAAATATTCATTTCAAATAGACCGACATGTTGGAAATCCACTGCGTGCTTTCTGTTAGTTTTAGGTTCAAACGACTGTCATGTAAAGAATGATGAAAAACAGTAAATTATGCAACCTGTATGGAATTTATTTTGCATACAATACTATTCATTATTACATTATACCATTATATTATTTTCTTTTTCAACGATTCATTAATATCACTGATTTCTATAATTTCCTATCCAGGCGGACATTCAGAAACCCTTTAGGAATGCGCGTTCCTCCAGGGTCTGATTCATAAAATATTCCAAATTGGATTTGAAATTGAGTGAGTGCAATCTGAGTGAAATGAATCCCTTATCTTTTGTAGGCATTTGATGAAATATTTCAACGCCTCCAATTGGTGTTGGTGGATCAACTTCAACACTAAGACCATTGAACCGAGGTGGAGCGTAGCGTGAGCCACCCATTTTGATCGGAGCTGGGACCAAATCCACCCAGTCTAGGTCGTCAGGATTTTCGACATTTTCCTTTTCGTTATGTCTTTTGCTGTAATCAGTGATAAGTTTATGGAAAGTGAATTTTATTTATCAGTGATGTATATTCAATAGAATGACTATGCAATTGTATAATTTAATTTCTTTGACTGCGTGAATTAATTTACTTGCGGAGGTTTACTTACTCGTCTTTGCTACTGATTGTTCCATATTTTATTATATGCCGGGACAACAATGTTCCGTTCTCGAAGTTGAATCTTTGTGCCCGTACCCTTAGACCAAATCCGTTCTTTTCGAAAAATCCAATACCTATGAATAACAAAAAGAAATCCGTGGATCAACGAAAACTCAGCCAATGCTCACAAAGGTGAAAACAAAATGCAATTACCAGTCACAGCATAATCCGATGAAAAACTGAGTTCACTGAAGATTAATCTTTGGTGAATTGGACTTATGGTTATTGTCTTTGGCTTCTTCGGAGGGTCAACCCAATGATTTGAGGAGAGGTCAACCCGACCGTGTGGCAGCAATTGTCCCTGTTTTATTTGTATGTGAAGAACATGGTCTTGGAGTACAAATTTTACACCGGTAATGACCCTAAAAAATTCAAGAGTAATGAACATTTGCGGAGCATTTGAGGATCATTTGTAGTCAACTCACATATTCTCGGAACTATTAGCAAGATTGAAGTTCAAACTGACGGAAGTCGAGGTTTCAGTGTTGCAGGTGCAAAGACAATTCTGGCTCGTCTTATTATTGTCATGAGCCTCCGTTTTTCCTCCTTTTTCCACACAACTATACAGCAAGTTCTTCTCCAGGTTCCATGCACTCACCGTGCGAGTATTTTCCTGTTCAATTTAGGTGAGTTGATAATGAATATTATCTCTATAATTGAATTATAGTTCATTGCCATAGTACCTTGTGACAAATAACGACTCGTTTTACAGGAATACATCCATCAATACTTCCAGGACACTTGTCTTGATTATTATACCACATCATTTTTTCGTTTTTAACGGCATCTGTGCAGGTATACTTTTTTTTTTTTTTAAGATAACTGAAGGTGGATAGATGACTGGACTCTTTGATTTCGATATGAATTTTACCTGAACAAGTTTTCAATATTTCAAAGTTAATTTTATGACATTTATTATTTTAGGAATCTCTATGGAAGTTGGATTACCTTGAGTAGTATCAGCGTTTGTGGGATCACAGCTTTGTATATGTGATGGAAATTTATTCAAGGCTTTAACAAATAATTTGACGTAGTTGGTGAATCGAGTAATGAATTTGGTTCGGGCCTCCAATAGTTCCTTACTCCAGGCTGATTAATTGAAAAAACAATCAGTAATGTAGTGACGGAAAACTCCTAATTTTAAGAATGTCTCGATCGTGGGGAATTACGTGTACAGTTTAGTTATGGATAGTCTAGACGTTGGGGAACTACGCGAGGGTAGTTACACTGTAAAGTACATTAAGAAAAATATTTTATTAAGGTAGGATTAAGACGAGACGCAGGATTAAGTCTAGACGTAGTTTTATTATTTTATTACGGTAACGCCGTAGCACCCTCATCGATGACGCACGACCCCCTAGCTGACCCACGCTGCCACGTTTCCGGAAAACTTCCAAATATGGAAATGGCAAGTGAGGCCCAGAAAGTGCGTGGTAGTGGGGGAAGGACGCTAGGAGGGACGAAGCTGTACATTTAAGGGATGAGGGTGCAACGGGGAGTGCAATTCATGGTCGGGAACTATTAGACGAACATCGAAGGCGAAAACGTAGAAATCCTCGTCAGAAGCATTAGACGATTTAGCCGTTTTTCTTAAAGGGTTTTTTAAAAATAATTGTAAATAAACTGTTTCGATTAAAGTCTTTAGACGTATCCAGCTGTTTTATCTTTTAAAAATATACCCACAGTAATGGAGAAAACACTCATGGTTAGACAAGTGCGGAATGACTCCAAAGTTATTTGGATGAATAACTAGTTGTAAACACTCCTCGTACGAAAATTTTTGAGGACTAGTAAAGGGCTAAAAAAGAGAGCCCCTGACACTACAGGGAGAGGGAACACAACGTGAAAATCCAAGGAGGTATACTCAAAGGAATCAATTGAAAAATGTATATACTCGTAATGAATTAGGGATGGTGAGGGAAGATGTGTTGTGCTTTCATAACAGTCATAACTCATTTATCTAACTTACTCTCTCGGTGAGGATATTCCACTTTGTAAATGTAAGTTAGTACAATCATAGATTTCACTTCGTAGGCTATTATTGTATGGAAGAGCTGAGTGAGGATATGGTGCATCGATTGCGTACCTCTGCATGAATCTTTGTCAACACGCTAAAATAAGATATGGAGGATAGGAAAAAAAACATCCACCGAAGAAAAAAATTAACGAAAAAGTACTGCATGAATCACTCGAATCGGGTGGAATCCCAATGTGTGGCAAATTTTGGAATTCTTCTCCACGTTCATATTATTAATCCCGTAGAAAGTACTTCAATTTTCTACTACTTCGTTAATTTTTCATGTTTGTGCAGTCTAAAACAACTGAATCATAATTAAGAAATATTATTACAGAACTTCTGGAAATAGCAGTGATGAAGTTATCCTGTCGGTGTGACTTGAAAGATAGTGATGATCTGAGGAAAGTTTCGAAATCCGGCAGTTTTTCTTTTATTCTGGGTGCCAACGATTTTGCATACGTAAAATTGACCGGCATATCTGTATTGGCAAACCACTCGTATGGTTCATCTATTTGCTCCAGTATTGGCTTAGCTTCTGCCGCCCACTTTTCCACTTTTTCTCGGAGAGATGAGTGTACCGATTTTTTCATCACAGCCACGAGATGCGTCATATCCATGACATCTTTCATACTATCGAGCTTCAGCATAATTTCTTTGAATGATAGCCGCATCTTCAGTTTTAGTTTCACATTATCACCATAAGCTAGTTCAGACAATTCCTGCATCATGGTGCTTACTCTCCGGCCTAATATTTGTTATCATTTTTATTCTCAAGATCGTAATTATGTTAATGTCAAATGGTTTTTCGTCTTACCTAAATCTAGGATCCAATCCAATCTGCATTCACTCCCGTTACTGTGAACAGAATTTGGTGTAAGTTTCCTCTATTCATATTTATGTATTATACCTTCAAACGTTGAATTCTAATTGTGCTACATGTAATGTGACATTTTAGGCACGAAAACCCCATTTTACATACATTGTGATAACAAAAATGATGAAATGAGTTTTGTAACCAGAGGGAGAGTAGCACTGATTAATTTTATCGAAAACTCAAAAATAAGTGAACTTGAATCCATATACGTCATGAAATTAAAGAAAGTATAACAAGAAAAATTAGGTTTTCGATTGTTGCGAAAGCCATATGGGAAGTATCGAAGAATACAAATGTTCTAAGTAGAAAACGAGTCGATACTTACACTGAGAGAAAAATCTGAAATTCGATTTACAATAAGAAAATAGTTGGGGCAGTTTTGGTGAATGATACGATTTTTTTTTGTATGCGGCACATAACATTATAGTACCTTCACAAGCGTAATTTTTGCAAATCAAAATGCAGTTCAACTAACCGAAGTTCAAAAGTAACCACGACAAATCTATCGTGAGTAGAACTATAAAATAGTCGCAATGACTACATTCCATTGTAGTAATCACTTCTTCGGCCATAGTTACCGTAATCCATACCAAATTATTGAGGACTTTTTGACTATAGTTCGACGGTGATGGAATATAGTCAGAAGAATCATATTTTTCTCTCAGTGTAATAAGACGACTTAATCCACTGGTTACCATTCCTCCAATAGGCTGTTGCGTTTGTAGTCCATCATCAACTGTGACACATATCTTATGAATGGAAGTGAACGCAACTGCAAGCTAATGAATCCAGCATAATTTTCAACATGTTTATGAAATAATCCAATTCCCGATAATGCTCTTGGTGGGTTAGTTTCGATAGGTATTCCATCGAAGAATGGTAGTGTCGGCTGCATAAAATCATTATTTATGGGCGCAGTCTCCAGTTCGATGAAATGATGGTTCTCACCGGAATCGGGTTTGTTTGAAACAGTTGGTGCACCCAACAGTGGATTATTTTTTGCAATGGTTAATTTATCACTGGAATCACAAGAAGTGAAAATAGCGACAATTATCCCACTGAAAAGTAGTCATTTAACAGTCACTATTAATGACTCACAATTTATGTTGAGGCTCCGTAGAAACCTGAACAAGGCCTGGCCGCAATACTGCATCTTTCATATCAAACTTTTTCCCCAGTATTCTAATGGCGGCACTGCCTGACACATTATCAAACTGAACTCCTAGAGTGGACAATTTTACGACCATTTAAAAAACTGGAAGATTGTTATAGGAATGAAGAAAAGGGAAAATATTCAAAATTTTGGATACGGATGGTATTCTGCATATTTCGCGCGCTATAAGCATAAACTCATCCGACCATATCAGTAGTGAAGTGGTCAAACGGTTCAAGTCGATTTTGGCTATTGGCCAGTTTTCAATGAATATCTCGAAATCTAAGCGAGATAGCAAAATTTTTCGCATAACCTTTTTAGTAACACTCAATTCGCTCTACAAAAAAGGTTATTATGAAAATTTTGCTATCTTTCCTTAAATTCGGAAATATTTCTGGAAAACTCAACTAAAGACTAAATTGACTTGAACCGTTTAACCACTTCGCTACTGATATGGTTCTGTTCCTTATGCAATATGTAGAGATAGTTGTATTTACGATATAGTTATGTCTACACTGTTGGAAACAAATTAAATTTCAGTGACAGTGACACTGAATGTGATTTAGGGGAAAATAATCATGAAATTCCAGGTTTTACTGAACATTCAGTAAAATTCCAGAATTTTAAGTAGCATAAAGATGCGAATTTCTTAATTTATTTGAATTTTCAATCTAATATGAATATTCAGTAACAAATTACACTGAATTATCAGTGAAACCTGAAATTTCATTGTTTTCCTCCCCTAAATCGCATTCACTGTCTGTCTTGAAAATTCAAGAATATATTTACCGGCATTTTCTGGTTTTCTGTTCATGTTCAGAAAAAAATGGAACTGAAATTTACAGTTCTCTTTGATTTTTCCACAAAATTCTGAATTTTCGATGACGAAATTTCTTGAAATTTCAGCGGTAATTAGATTCGATTAAAATTTCCAAAAAGTGTACCGGAAATTTCAGACAAAAATTTTTAACAGTGTATACGAGTAGGTATGTTTATCAGACGGACTATGAGCATACCGATCGGGTCATAGATGTATTTACAACTGTGACTATACCTGTATCGTTCTCACCAGGAACGAACAATCTTGAGATTCGGTCTGATCGAACCTACCACCACTTCCATTCGTATCTTTCAATATGGGAGTGGAGTAGGAGCCAAGCAAACACAAAGATCATTCTTTCCTGGCGAGAACAAACTATGACTATGACTATATCTATCCTATCCTATAGGTATAGTGATGCCGTCGAGACTAGACGAGAATTATTTTGGAAAGATCACCACGGTCTAAAAAAACATCGAAAGTTTAGGAATCGTCGTAATCTCGAAAGACATTGGATCGGTGCATTTCGTCACGACCTTGGAAGAATCCATCACGTCTGAGTTTCCGTATTTTCTGTTCTTCAAATGTTTGTCTCGATATCTGTCTCGTCTCCTCTGATGTCATACACTTAAAAAACCGAAAATCTCGAGATCCAGGCAAGATAAATCCTCCCGGAATTGTGACGAGATGCACCGATCCAATGTCTTTCGAGATTGCGACGATTCCAAAACTTTCGATGTTTTTCCAGACCGTGATGATCTCTTCAAAATAATTCTCGACTAGTCTCGAGGGCATCAGTATATAGGTATAGCTATAGTCTGCACAAATATACTCATAAGAATTAATAGATATATATGATTGTAGATATGAGCATAGTTTTAATTAAATTATCGCCAAATAGATGGGTGATACAACTTTACGTGGATTTTTTTCAAGGGATCACGAATTACAAGAAAATGAATTACCAACAAGAGCATATCCAAACGGCAGAGTAGGATTATTGAGCTTAAAAGTTTTGGACTCCCAGGTTATAGGCATTACTTCTGGGTTGGAAGGCAGAGGCACCCAACTCTCTGTGGCTGGATCAACTTTACCGTCATTTATTAATTTTCCCTGCTTTATTTGAATATGAAGACTTCTATTGTATTGTATGAATCGTACACCAGTGACAACCCTAAACAAATCAATCAGTGTCATTAGTTAATTATATATTGTGAATAGTGATGCCGCGAGACTTTACGAGACATCACGAGACAATACTTTGGAGGGATTGTCGCGGTCTCAGTAAACGCGGAAATTTTTGGTCTCGTTTCAGTCTCGAAATACGCAGTATCGACTCTTCTTGCGATGGCTCCGAGTCAATTTAACTGACCTTGGTTTCCAGTTTTTTGCGTTTTTTATATGTAGAAAATCGAGATGAGACAAAGCGAGACAAAAACCGAGATTTTACATTAAAAATACGAAAAACTTGAGACCGAGATGAGATAAATTGACTCGGAGTCATCACGACAGGCGTCGATACTGCGTATTTCGAGACTAAAACGAGACCAAAGATTTCCATGTTCATTGAGACTAAGACCATCTCTCTAAAGTACTGTCTCGTGAAGTCTCTCGCGGCATCACTAATTGTGAATTAGTCAACGAATAAACAAATTAGTTTCTTGTACGTTAGTTCATTACCATACTCCAGATTTTTCTCATTTCCATTACTTCACATCACTAATAAATAGATATGGAATCATGAACTTCAATTCGGCACAGAACCTATTGTTCTAATAGACAAAACCCCGATTTTAACGTTAACAGTAATTCTCAAACATAAGAAGATCGTTCAACTTGGATGCCAAAAATAATATCAATTGGTCGCCGTTTATGCAATATTTGTTCTATCTTGACTCTTCATAGAATCCTGCAATCATTAGATGATTAGCGTTTTATTGTAAATTTACTCATTCTCAGGATGATTCCATACTTGAACCTAATTTTTCTTAATCTTTAGTTGTATGTCCGCTTGAATCATTAAAATACTATGAAAGTGTTACAAAGAAATCTTACTGATGATTTTGCGTGAAAATAAAAGAACAAAAACTGTTTTTAAAGTTATTATCAGTTGAAAAAAAAAACAGATTTGCCGCATAAAGCCCGTAAAACATTTGAGAATGCCATAAGTAACGTCTTATTTTGGAGATTTTTCATGCTTATTCCGTGTGCCAAAGAGAAATTTCATAGCTCGAAACTTGAATTGGATATTCATGAAAATGTGGAAAAAAATCACTCAAAACTAGTCATCTACAAAAAATTGAAAGCTTTCAAAAAATCATAACAATTAGGTACAATTCCTTCGTCAATTTTTCATATTTTCCAAAGATTTTCTTTCTGAAAACGTTCTTTGGACGACCAACTTTTCTGAAAAAAATTGACGTGGAATTGTATTCTTATATTAACATTAATAAGCACTAAATTGGTGACCAAATGCATAAAGAAGTGAATATATGAAAGATTACTGGGGAACACGGTGAAATGAGTGCAATTTGACGGACCAGAAGAAATTCACTGCCTAGCACTGGAAATTTTTCTGCGAAATATACGAAGTTTTCACGCGCAATCTAAGAAAAGTTTCTGCACACGGAAAGAAATGTTCAGTAAAAATTACGGAACTCACAGTTCGCTCACCGATTACGGAATCGACTCAGAAAATTAAAGTGACGGTATCGTAATTTTTCACAGGAGATTCAGGTAAAAATTACGGAACGCTCTGTAAAAATTCCGTGACAGTTCCGTAAAATTTTCTATAACCACATTTCGCTTTTAAATTACGGAAAAAATTGAAATTGCGTAATTTTTACTGAATATTTCTCTCCGTGCAGCGCACAGTGAAAATTCCGGTACTCGGACGGGAATTTCTCCGAGTCCGTCGAAATGAATCCATTTTATTGCACTAGAACAGTAATTTTTCTGGTATGTTTTTCTTCGTGTGGAATCAAGCAACTTTGGTCACTTCTCAGGGAATCACCCAATACCTCATAGAAAGAGAGCGTCCCATTCGGACGCCCACTATGTTTATCATCATTCAGGATTAATGGTACTCAAATAGCATTAATTTATGAATAACTCACTTATTGTTCACCACATCCGTGTGACTCCAGCTCAAACTGATCGAATGTGCTGAGGATCGATGACATTTGCACAGACACCTAGTGACGGGGACCCCGGACGGACTTTTGGGGACTTTCACAAAAAACAATTGATTGTCAATGGGGCAAGAATCCTTTCTGCCGTGTGTTTTTCTGGACCCCAATTTTACTGATCCGAGACCGTCGTATGTTGCTGATACGACATTGTCGTTTTCCTATATGGATAGATTCACCGATTATCAAGTGTTCACCGAGCTATTATCAAGAATGCATTTGAATTTCATGTGTATTATCGAATACATGTCACCGAAAAAGTATCAATTATCATAATTCTAGGTACCACACATAAATTCAGTTCCCCTCTCGTCTCGACACACCAATTCTTTTCTCCTGTTAAATTCGGGCAACCCCAAAAACCTGTTATACCCTGCTCGCAAGTTTCCGAACCCATACCGATTGTAGAAGCTCCTATTACGGTGTGTAAATAAACGAAAGTGGACTTGAACGATCCGATTTCATAATATCCCAAATTTGGATCGTCTGAAAATGTGAAATCGTCCGTGTTAATGCTGGAATCAGTTGATTCTGAGTATAGAAAAGGTGAAAATAAAATAGGTAAAAATGGTACCTTTAATCCATCGACCGAGTTGAGGCTCACCAGCTCTTATAAATGGCGAAGTTTTATGCAGAACGTTCAACATAATAGCGATGTAAACCTTATAGCGATCTTCAAATCTGTGCAGAGCACGATTCGTCCTAGAACCCCACTCTATTTTGAAAAGAAGTAAAGTATGTGTACACTGAGAAAAAAAATTCTAATATCTGAAACATATTTTCTTGAGAGAAGTAAATTATTTTCAATGGCTTAAATCTCAGAAAGTGTGCACTTGACGGAACTCGAATAAATTTTCATTCATCACTATCGTTCTGCGTTACGTCAGGAATATTTTACATATTGCAATATTGGAAGTGTATAATGAAGAAATCATGAAAATAATAAAAACTAGAAGATTGACGATTCTTCTACGCGATTTAAGTAAGTTCATTTGCGACAAAATCATACTTGAGTACAAGAATATTTTAAAGCATGAGGCCTTTCTCGGGTCATGTGAGTTGAGATGTCTGAGAGAATTAAGCAATTGAAGAAAATTTACTTGTCTCAAGAAAATATTTTTCAGATATTAGAAAATTTGTTTCTCAGTGTAATGTCTATAATTGATAATTTTGGTCGGTAATCTCAAAGAACGAAAAATCTCTATAGTTTTCAGTCAAATCCTCCTGATTGCAATACTATGTGGTACCAAAATCATGGGAGCCACAAGTCCTAGACATCAAACTATATGTTCCTTTGATTGTTTATTATTACTTTTTAATTATTATGTTTAAAAATAAATGAAAGAATGAAAAATACAGTGAACCACTAATTTAATTATGCGCGCGCTAAGCACGCGATCTTTTTCTATTCAAGGAAATTTTCCGTTTCATTTTGGTAATTTTAAAAATTTGGAGGCAATTTTTCATATACAGAATTAACGGATTTGCTCATATGCTATTGCAATTTGTCAGAAACAACCAAACAAAATGCTACGTGGCGCAGTTTTTTTTACTAAAATATTTTGTTTTTGGTTTTTAGGGATTTATATTACATGACAAAATTACTGGCTAACCGCCACATCCCATCTGAATAGTTAGTCATTCAGGTCTCCGTTTAATGAATTTTCAACTCTCCCGTTTGACTCTCAAGAACATTGAACTCTTCGAAATATTCCGCCAGACCCTTACAGTTATTAATTTAAAACGTTATTTGTGACGTAAATTTTATGTGACCGTCATATTTCATCTGAATACAAGTAAAATTATCACATAAGCATCATATGAATAGAAAACGAGAATCATATTTAACAATCTAATTAATACAGCGTGAATTACATACCTTTTGGCGTCAGCCCTTGTGCCCTCAAACTCGAACCTATTAAATGTAGGGCCTTCATTTCAGTTATCATTATTGTTTCGAAGATTTGAATCAAGTACTGTTGAAATGCTTCTATTTCATTACTTTTTTGGAAATGCTACAATAATAAAATTGAGGGTCGTTAGTGGAAAATTATCAATTTAAGAAGAGGACAAGATTTTGGCTGGAATATAAAAAGTTGGTCTTGAAAAGAAAATTTGAAAAAAAAATTCATTGAAATATATTAAAAATTGAGAAAGTTATGATTTTTTGAAAACTTGACTTTTCTTTTTAATTAACATTTTCAAGCGATTTTGTCTTCAAATTTTCATCAATATCTACTTGAATATCTAATTTGAGTTTGGAGCTATCAAACTCACCTTTGCCGCATAAAATAAATATGAAAAAATCTTCAAAATAAGAGGTCACGCGTTGTATTCCATGGTGTTTTCTTGGCTTTATGCAGCAAATTAAATTTATATATTCGATAACCATATGCCGAAAATTGAGGAAAATATCCAAGTTCAATCAAAATATGCAGAATATTCTCAATATGCGTTCATATTTATAAAGTTCACATGTGCAAAGTTTGCGAGATATTTTCATTTTTCGATTTTTCGCTCAAAATCCTTGTTAGCACTCTCACTTTTGCAAAAACCGATATATTAACTTCAAATTTGGCATGGAGAAATGATATTCCTCTTTTCACTACAATGTTTCGCATTGAAAATGGATTAAATCGGATGCATCGCAGTTCAAAAGATATTCAAGTATGTATCTAAATTTATTTTCTTCAATATCTCGAAAACTGCTCAACCGATTTCAATTTTTTTTTTC